TATATATATATATAGTTTCTTCCTTGGGTCACTAATTTTAGGACTGTCTGTTGACTCAGTATGATATTAGAGGAAGACTATAGAACCTAGAAAACCCTACATGACCCTTGTTATCTCCCCATGATCTGCTCAGGACAGAGCTGAGAATCTGGGGTCTCCCTTGTGTCCCGAAGCAGGCAGATGCCTGGCGCTCGCCCCAGTGGTCACCCTTCCCAGTGCGTATGACCAGTCACACTGTCTCCTCTGTGGGCTCCAAGGTCGGCTTCCTTCTCTGCCATCTGTCTTCAGATGCTGCAGTGTGGAGCCCAGTGAACTGCTAGAACTGCTAGCAGTTCACTGTAACAGCAGCCTCTTACTTGCATTGAGAATGGAGCTGTTTAACTTTCCCCTTTCCCTGCTCTGAGTTTTCAAGAGAAGAAATTGGGCAGAAATACAATACTCCTTTTAATGAAAACACTAGACCAAGCTGTAGGAAATCAGTGCTTTGAATTGTCAGCGTGACCTGCCATAGAAATTTTGCCTGCTGTTATTTCCTGATCATTGGAACACAGATTAGTGGCCACGTGGTCAGCAGGGATTGGGGGAGGCTTTGGATGCCTGAGCTCTTTCCCCTGTGACGTCTGCGAGCGTGGGGACGTGGTCCTGGGACGGGGGAGGGCAGGGCCCTGACGTGCGCCAGGCACAGCCCTCTGCTTGGGACCCAGAGCCGCCTCTTTCAGGAGAGCTTTCAGGAGCTGGACGTGAGTAACTTGAAGACCATGATAACATGATCCTGGGAATGCAAAGCTGCTTACGAGAGTTGGTGGCAATTTAAGACAAGAACATACTGAACACTCTTCTCCTGCAACCTGTTTGCATTAAACGAGGGGCTCCGGGTGTGTTCAGTCATCTACCAACTGTTCATTGAACTTCTACTATGTGCCAGGCACTGCCAGGCTCCAAATATGCTCACTGTAGCTCTTTTCTTGGTTTCCTCCAAGAATCTTGGGATCATTCTCTTAGGCAGGACAGTTCAAACACTTTTAATGGTTTAAAACATCGAAACATAAGCATTATAAGACATTTGAAAGGTGCTTGTTGAGCTTAATGATTAATAAACTCCAAGGGGGGAAACACAGCTTCTATTCATGGCTACCTGTTGGCACTTCTGCTGCCAGGGGTGATACAGACCCAGCACAGATAGCAGGCCATCCACACCAGCACATGTGTGTGCAGAACTGTGCCCTTTTATTAGAGTTCCCATGATGACACTCCTGGTCATATACGGCTTACATCTGCTCAAATCTCAGATGACGCTGGAAGCAGTCAGTCTCATTTAGTCACCTATATAAGAAGAAAGTCTTGTGACATCTTTTATATATTTCAATTTTTAAAAATCATAGAAGATGTCTATACTGCATTCCCAAACATGTACAGGTGTGTAGAGTAGAAACAAAATTGATCACTTCAGACACATTTTCTTAAGATTTCTGGAATATAATCAAGATTTTTTTCAATTGCCGTTTTATAAATCACATTGTTTTTGGTTAAAAAAAGTATTTGAACAAGTCTAGAATTATAACCCTCTCGCTCTTAAACACATATATCATCTGTGTGTGTGTGTAATCTGATTTTGTTTTCTGAGGGCGCTACCTAAATTGGTTTACACACTTGGTGTCTTGTATCCAATTTTGCACCCTGCTTTCCCTACCTCGCAGTATCGACCTATTTTAGGATCACATTTCACAGTATAGATTTATAACTCATTTAACTATGTTGCTACTTTTAAGATGGTATTAATTTTTCACAGAAACCCCAATATTAACATCTTCATTTTTGCTCCTCTTTGGAACAAGTTTCTAGATGTGTGTTTTACTTGTTTTCAAATATTGCATATAACAGAACAAAGTTCTAGAACTACACCAGCATAAGAGGCGGCACCTTTACGTGCTCACCTGTCCTTAACATTGATGTGCTGCTCTGCTGGGATAGTTCTGGGGCAGCGGTTTTCCCCGCCCTTCCCACGTCACAGCACGTGTAGAAGATGATGATATTTTCACAGCACCGTCGCAGGAAGGGACAGGGCTGCTCTAACCCAGAGGTGCCCGCCGTGTATGGTGAGGCCCTGGGCACCTCCCGACTGCCAGGCGGCTGGGGAGTCGGCACGTCCGTGGAAGGCAGCTCGATGCAGAGATCTCCAGGAATCCCGCTGTCTCTCCTATGATTTATCCTATGAAAAATAAAGTCTAGGCAAGAACCGCATCACCTTTGTAAAATGAGCTTGCATTGTGATTCAGTTTTCAGGGACTTCATATAAATGTGCTACCGACGTTTGCCACCTCGCAGAGCTGGAAGACTCTCCCACCCCCTCGCCCCAGGTCCCCCAGGGCCCCCGGCCTGCGGGCCCCGCTCAGTAGCTGCAGGTCAGCACGGCCGCCTTCTCACGTGTGGGGACACATTCTGTGTCGTTTCTGATGGCGCTTCGTCAAAGGCGCAGGTTCCATTTCAATTAGCGCCCCAGCTGAGAGGGTGCCGTCTGTCAGAATTTAATTTTCTCGCCTGCAGTTTCCTGCCTCCACTTCGAACAGAATGAGCCACTTGAAAAGAATGACAAGTACTTTTTTCCCAAGAAAACCTCTGTCTGTGTGAGCACTTAGGTAATTAGCACACTTGTCACTGGGCTGTTGGGAAGCGTGACCGTAGAAGAGGCTGCATTTTCAGATTATGCTGGACAGAGAGGAGAAAGTAAGTGGGTAACATCTGAACGAGAGCATCACTGGACCAGATACGTCTTGTAAAGAGCCCATCACGCGGGGCCTGCAGAGAAGTGATGATGATACGAGCGCAGTGATTTTAGATCAGAGCTTATCCAGTCATATCCAGGGGTAAAATGCATGACTATTGCGGCAATTCATGTTCATGTTCATGGATGCTACGTAACAGTTTTAGGATAGAGGAAAATACGGGGAAAGGAGCAGTTAATCTATCCCCACTGGGGGTGTGGACCCCCCACGCCTGTCTCTAAGACTTCAAGGCAGAGTTCCATGTCTGTCAAATCTGCAGTGTTGGCCTGCAGATACCAGTGGCAGGAAGAAGCTGGTTGCAGTTTTTGAGCCACAGGCCTGAGTTCAAAACTGTGGCCTATCACTTTTTAACTATGATGTTGAACCAACGACTTAACTTCTACTTAGTTTCCTCGGCTGAAAAGCAGGTGGACTAGAACCCCATCGAGGTTGTGTGCAATCAAGACAAGCAGCCTGAATGAGCGTGGTTCTTACTGAGAGCTCATTACACGTTCTGCACCCATCCAGCAACCCTGGATGATTATTCCCATTTTCCAGATCAGGACACCAAGGCACAGAGAGGATAACTTCCTGAAGATCACTCCCCACAGCTCAGTGTTGCAACTGAAATCAAAGTCCTGACTCTGGCCCCAAAGCTCCTTCCCACAAACCAAAACAGTAGCTCTGGCACAAAGCAGGTGTTCAGTAAATGCTTTGCTG